AATATACATATGTGCATTACACATAATATGCGTATATATAATATATAAATAAGATAACAGAGGAAGAAATAATAAAAATATTTAATTTAGTAAAATTATAAAAAATATAAAATATAAATTTATTAAATTATTTTAATATAAGTTCATTAAATATTATATTTATTATTACTATATTTTATATATAGAACAATTTTTTTAATAACAAATATGAAGAAAATTTTTGTTATTATCTCATATTTTTTATTTTTTTAAGTTTCTTCCTCTGTTGATATAAAAATTATATCTTCATATTTAATAATGTACACAATATAAAATGTATTTAAATGTAGGTGTTTTATATAATATAATATAAGATTAAGTAACTTATTAGTAATTATAATATCGTAAAAAATAAATATTATACTTATTATTGCAAATTTTAAATATTGATATAAAAAAGCAGCAATAATATACATATGTGGTAATAATGTATGTCGTAATGAAAACATTGAAATTTATAATTAATATGATTTTTATTTACTTTTATTTTAAATTCTGAAACAAGTAAAACACAAAAATATTTAGAATTGTAAATAAAATATAATTCATCAAAAAATTCAAATTTTATTTTTTATATCATAGAATTTATTTATAAAAGAAAATTGAGAATTAAGATTTTTTAAAAAATTGATATCTTATATATAAATTTAAGTAGTTTATATAATAGTTAAATTAATAATTATTATTAAGATTGATATAATAGTATTTTGTATTTTTTTAATAATGATTATCAAATATGTCTATTATTTAATATGTCTTATTTAAATATGATATTATATCAAACTTATCTTTATACTATACTTATTTCAATTTAGATATCATAAAATTAATATTTAATTATTAAATATAATTATTAAATAATTAAAAATATAATAAAAAAATAGTATAATTTATTAAAAAGTATAAGTGATTTCTATTACAATATTATTTCTATTGAATTGTATTATATTGTATTATTAAGATTTTTTATTTTCATTATGATTCTAAAGAAGCAATTTTTCTGAAAATTCTGATAATGATAAATTTAAAAATATCAAAATTCAATAGCAAATTAAAACATCAAATTAAATTACAGATTCAGTAAGAAGATATTGTATACTTGTATACATTAATACACATATATATTCATACATAATTTTAATTAATAAATCATATATTTATATCGCTAATTTCTATTTTTTTAATTAATTATGAATCTAGAACATAAAATCTTGAGTAGTTCTTCAAATCAAAATCAATTTAGATTATATATCAAAAGCCCAATGTTTACTTTTAAGTTAATAACCTCATTAATATAAAATATGATATATGAAATATAAAATTATTTATATATTATTTTAAAAAATAATTTAAAAAAATAATTATAAAAAATAATTTTCAAAATAATTATAAAAATAAATATAAAACTTATAAATTTTATGTTAGCATAATTTATATTTCGACATTGCAATAAGTAACTAGCATCACTATTTAATTCAATATAATTCAATATTTGAAGTCTAAAAAGTCTTATTTTGTATATATTTTTATATGTAAAAATGTTTTGTATGTAAAGATTTTTCATACAAAAATTTGTACATACAAAAAATTTATTTATTTTATATAAACCAAATTTAACATATCTGTTCGAGTTGATAATGAAAACTATATAATTGGTAGAATAATCAGTTAAAAGTCCACCATAATCATTTTAAATTGCAAAGCAACTGCATGTAAAGAAGTGAACAATATCAGAACGACGATTTTACACTTTGTTTAAGCAAGTATTCACAATAATATTTTTCATTAAATAAATAATTATATTAGTATTATAATATTAATATTGTAATAATTACATCATATAAAATTTCCATACAAATATGGAAATTTTTGCAGACTAATTTTTAAATCACTAAATTCTTCATTTTTGGATTTCGCATATCAAAATTTATAAAAACGTAAAAAAAAAATAAAAAAATTTTAATAGTAATTTTAAAATCATAACGATTCGAATACATTTGAAAGTAAAAAATTATTCTTTTTTTTTTTACAAATAGATACTATGTCGATATTATGTCCAAAAATATTTATCTTTGATAAATTTGAGAATTCATGTTCAATATTTTACGATTGCAATTTTCGAAAATTTGATTTGTTTAATTATAAATAATTCTATAAAATTATTAGCAATACTATATACTATTAAAAATTTAAAAATAGACAGTAGAAAAAAATATAAATTTGATTAGTTATTTTTGATAGACTTAATATAATCATATATTATACTAAAATCTCATGTATGTACACAAATAAAATTATATATCGCATGCGCATGAAATGCGCATGAATATTTAAATGGTAGTATTTCTCTTGCTCTATGTACAATCATAGTACCAAATAAATAAGGATAGGAATAAAAATAAAAAAATAATACATGCACATATTAAAGAAAAATAACATATTATATTATATGAATCAATTAATTATATTATATGGAATAATGATTATATTTTACTTTATTCAATTGATTACTTTTATAAATATATAGAGAATATTATAATTAAAAATTGAAATATAATATAAATCATATATATAATTTCTAATTTATGATTCCTATTCTTATATGATAAAAAATAAATATATGTAATATTAAATTTTCGTTAATTTTAATAAAATGATAATTCAATTTTATAAACTAATTTTCAAATTAAAAATATTCAATATTCAATATTACATTATTATTATATAAGAAATCTATTTTATCTATATTAATCTATATTATATATTTTAATAATAAAGTGTATTTTAATTAGCAATAATGGTAGTTGAAAGAGTAATATTATCTACTTTGACAAAAATAAGATTGATTTCCTGTATAAAACCACAATTATTACAGCAGAAACAAAATTTGGTAATAAAATTTATTTGTTATTTTTTAATTTATTTTTAAGAATTTAGATTTTAATAATTTTTCTTTTCTTAATTAGACTAACTTTCTATTGGTGTGTAAATTATCAAGTTATCATGTTACAAAAAATATTGAACATATTATGCATGACAATCAAATTAGAACTGATACAATTAGACAGAATTTTAATAACGAAAAAAATAGACCTTTATTAATTTTACTTAGTTGGTTGTTACCAAAGCATAGACATATTATGAAATTTGCAAATTTATATGTGGAACAAGGGTTTGATATTGTTATATTATCAATTACACCTTGGCAATTAATATGGCCTATAAAAGGATCTAGGGTAAATACATAAAATATAAGCTATAATATATTACATATATTAATATTTATAATATTATAATTTAATTTATAAAAATTTTATTTTAGTTAGTTGCTTCAGATTTATTGGAGTTTCTAATAGAACATCAAAATTATCAGCAAATAGTATTACATGGATTTTCAGTAGGTGGATATATGTGGGGAGAAATTTTGGACTTAATACAGAGTGATTATCAAAAATATAATAATGTAATTGAAAGAATTGTTGGTCAAATATGGGATAGTTTAGCTGATGTGACTGAATTATCAATAGGTATACCACGTGCTATATTTCCAAAAAATAAAATGCTACAAAATATGTTTCAAAAATATTTAGAGTAAGTTTGTTAACTTTAATTGTATTCATATTTTTTATAATATAAATTTTCAGTTTAAGTAATACAGGATTTTAAAATATTGAAATCAAACTTCAATAGCAAATAATAAGATCAATTTTATGGAAAAGTTTTATACAGATTTTGAAACAGATTTTCACCAATCCGAAGATTTAAAATCCATCATAATTACAAAAAAACATTTATTTATATGCTGTACAGTGATAAAGTTATATATATATATTTAAGTAATATAATTGATAAAAACATATTATAATTTTCAAAATAATATAATATTTAATTTCATACTTATTTTTTTATTTATTTTGATAAATATTACATGTCTTTAAATCTTTTAATTTTTCAAACATCTTATATATATTAAATATAATTTACAGATTTATAATTATATATATATTAAATATATATAATTTACAGATATCATATGAAAGCTTTTTATAAACAATCTACACAATATTACATAAGATCTAGTCAATTGTTTCATACAAATTTGGTACATAGTCCAGCATTATTTTTTGTAAGTAAAACAGATCCTGTAGGTTCACTAACAAGTAATTTAAGAGTAAAGGATCAATGGGATACTGTGGGTGTAAAGGTAATGTGTATAAATATATATAAATCATAAAATAGTGTCAGAAATATTTATATCTCTTTCTTTCAGACTTACATTAAAATATTTGAAAAATCTCCACATGTTGGACATTATCGTAAATATCCAAAGGAATATGTCGCAGAATTGTATACTTTTTTGAATAAATTGCCTTTAATACAACATGAAAAGAAAATGGGAGCACAGTTTTAAATATTTTATTGCTGATTTTTAAAATATTGAAGTATTCAGTGAAAAAATATTTATTGATATTTATTTTCTTTTTATAAAATAATTATTTTTTAAAACATGATAATAATTTTAATTATACAATACACAAGAGAAATATCTTTTTCTTGTTCATGTACTAAATATTATTGTATTATTATAAAAATAATTTATAATTTATATTATTTGTTATATACATTTACTTATTATGCTATATATTTCAATAAAATATGAATTACAATCATATTTTATTTTTATTATATGAATTCTTGGGAACTTTCTGCTTTTTTTTTAATTTATAGCATCTTTTGTTTTCTAATATTTCTTCAATTTCATCTGGATCTTTTCCCTCAAGGATGAGTTTTTTACGTTTATTTATAATTTTTTTTTCATAAAAATTCGTTTCATCCAATTTTATTTCCGCTTCTCGTTTAGCAACAGATATTTGTGTTAAAATTGTAATTATTTCCTTATCTGTACATGAAAAAATATATAATTATTCTGAATATTAATTTTGTAAAATATTAGAAAAAAATTTATTACCATTAATTTTATATTCTGTGAGTTTTGTACCAATAGTATTTTCAACTGCATGTAATAATTTAATATCATGTGGAGTTATTAGAGTAATTGCCATACCATTTTTGCCTGCTCTAGCTGTTCGTCCAACTCTATGAATATATTCTTTTGGTACATTTGGTATAATATGATTTATAACTAATTCAACAGTAGGAATATCTAAACCTCTTGCTGCAACATCTGTGGCTATTAAAATTTTTATATGATTGGATTTAAATTGAACAAGTGCAGCTAAACGATCTTTTTGTTTTACCATTGAATGTAGGGCTACATTTTTAAATCCAACATCATTTAGTGTCATAGATAATATTTGACAATGTCTAAAAAATTTAGCATAGAATAAAATATTGAATCTTTATATTGTATGAAATATATGTATATATATATATATATATATAATTTTAATTTACTTGCAAGTATCTGTAAATATTATTATAGATCCATTTTTGTTATTTGCTCGAAAAGTTCTAATTACTTCTACTAAGAAAGAATCACGAATATCTCTTGGACAAAGTACATAATGTTGATTAAGTTCTTTTACTGTAGCTATACCAGATTCATCTTTGGATTCCCATATAAAGGTCTTTAAAAATATTTAAAGTCATTTTTTATCATATAATTTTTCATTTAATTTTTTAGCTGTTTATAAAATTTTATAATACCTTATTGGATACTATGTGTTTTACTTTGTGAAGAGTATCTGTCATTGTAGCACTAAAAAGAAGCATTTGTTTCTGCTTAGGTAAAGCTTCAAATATAGTTTTCAACTGATCATCAAAGTAACCTTCCAGAAGTCTGTCAGCTTCATCTAAGACTAAAAATTTAATTTGTTTCAAAGAAAATGTATTACAACTTTCAAGATGATCTGCTAAACGTCCTGGAGTTGCAACAACTATATGTGGATGTTTTGATAATTCTAAACCTTGTACAACCATATCCATACCACCAACAATTACACATTTTTTTAAACCAATAGATTTTCCTATTGCTGAAAATTGATCTGCAATCTATAAATAAAATTTTTTGTGTTAAAATATTGAATATATAAAATTTAAAAAAAAAATTTTTTTAAATTTTAAAAAATTTTAATCCTACTTGGAAAGCAAGTTCTCTAGTTGGCGTTAAAACAAGTGCAAATATACCATATGGATCTTCAGACAATTTTTGTAATATAGGAAGTGCAAAAGCAAGTGTTTTGCCACTGCCAGTTTTTGCACAGCCAATACAGTCAGTACCAGCTAGAATTCTTGGAATACAATTTTGTTGAATTGGTGTAGGATATTTTAAACCTAGAAATATAAAAATTAACAATAATTTTTGTTTAATAATTTAATCAATAATCGTTTGAATACTAACCCATAAAAGTACATTGTTGGACAAGCCATAAGCTTAAATTTAACTCAGCAAATGTCATAATTATTCTTTTAAAAAAATATAGCTCATTCAAATATATATAATTAAAATATTTTTTTTTTAAATCTTTTAATTTTAATTTTCTTCCACAATAAAATTTGAAATTTATTAACATATATATTTTAAAATTAATATTACTCAATATTAATAATTATAACCTTTCATATAATTTTTTAAAATTATACAATTTATAAATATCAAATCATCAATCTAACAATAAATAAATTAAATTAATCGTCAGATGATAAAAAATTTTAAATAAAAATCAAAATATTTATTGTTTTCTATAATTTAGAGCGACAAAAATAGAATTATATTCAATTTAATCACAAACAAATTTTAAAAATTTTCTTAAAAATTTTTTTAATATATTCTTTCACAAATATTCTCTCTTTGTTTAAATTTGTATTTCATCTATAGTATTCTCAAAATTATACTAACTTTTAAATTTTTACTTTTTCTCTATTCTTGTTTATTGTATTCTCTATCTGCATTTTCTTTTATTTGTGTACTTATTTGTATTGCATGGCCATAGATAAAATAGTCATAAGATAGTAAATTACCCTTTGAAATAAATCTTCAATTAACTATTAGAAAAAATCATGTTTAATAACAAATTTTTAGAAAATTAAGAAAAATTTGTATATAAGACGATATAGTTTTTAAGAATATACATAGATTGTTTAATATTAAAATATATTCAACAAATTCTTAAATGCAATCTTCTTAAATTCATTAAATGCAATAATTTTTTACGTGATAAAATTTCTTAAAAATTTAGAAAAATAAATTTATGAGAAAATAGACAATGAGACATTTAATAACAATTGTTCTAACTTTAGAAGATATATTGAAATTAAAATTAACAGATTAACTAATAAACATTTATCACATACATATAAATATAATATAGAATACACATGTAATGTGATTATAGTTGTAAATTAAAATGTGAATTCGACCAATGATTCGCAATTAAACATTCGTAACAATATAAATTTTATAAAAAAATTTTAAATTTTAAATGATAAATGTTATTTGTGAATATTTTGTTTATAATATTTTAATGAAAATTATAATATTAATTATTTCTGTTTATTAAATTTAAATTAAATTGTTATTAATAAAAATGAGTATTGGATAATTGCATTGGTTTTTAAATCTATTAAATTTATATTATCATTATACAAATTATTATATCATTTATACAAATAAATCATTTTCAAACGAATTGAAACTATTAATTTGATTACTAGAATTGTAAACTATTAATTTAAAACATTATATTATAAATAACGGATAAAAAATTAAATTTGTTTTTATATAATACCATATATGTATAAATCTATTCAATTGACTTTACATATAATAAAAAATTAATAACAAGCTCTTATATTTATATATTAATTAACAACAAATTGCATAAATTATTATTATTATTATTATTATTATTATTAAATTAGGTTATGCAATTCATTTATTATTATACTTTAACTTGTAAAAAACAATCATAATATTCATTTCTTTTTGTTAATAAAGATAATACAATTACAATAGCGATAATAATACATTTATAGGTTATATCAGGACTATAAATTCTTTGAATTATTGAAACTAAGTCTTAATATCTAATCTACAATTAAAGTCATTTTTTAATGTACTTTACATATGATAAATTGTATTTATTGTAGCTTACATTTTGTAATTTGTGTGAAACTAATGATGTTATAATTTTACAATGGCAGTGAAAGAAAAACTACTCAGTAACAGAAAGTTTTCATAGAGAGAAATTGCAATTATTGTATGAAATATTATTTTCACAACGTGTCATATACATAAGTACACATATTATTACTTATTTAAAACAAAAATTTGTTTAATATCGATACATATTTTGATCTATTATTGATCCAAATTTATTTTTTTTTAATGTAAAGATAAACATTGAATGATTTAATAATTCGCCATCAATTAATTAATTTCTTTCTTGATACAACTTCTATATTTTGTAATTGCAAAAAATATGCGTATAAGTAATTAATGTTAAAATTTTATGCTAACATTTTTTTATAGTTTATGATTTAATATTTCATTAATTTTACTAGAAAAAGTATACATTATTTTGTATGTAACTACATTTTTTATACATATGATGATAAAAATTCAAATTAATCCGAATTTTTTTTTATATTAAAATTTTCACAATTTAAAATTCTGAAAATTAATTTTTCTTTTCTTTTTCTTTTTCTCCTTAATAAACATCCTCTGCTATTTTACAAGTCTAAAAATACATGTATAGTTTAATAATAATTCGGTCAATGCGACTAATATTTGTTAATTTGCTTAAAATCTTAGAGAAAAACAGTTACTGCAATGCTATGTTAGAACAAGAATATTTAATAGAATAATATATAATAATATTAAATAGAAGTTTATCACAAATTTTATATTATAGATCAATTAACGGGCATATTATCGACTAAAATTACATCTTATATGATTACAATTGAAATGACATAACGTTTTCACGTTAATTAAATGCTTTATTACATAATGGAGGAATAGTCGTCATTATCAATTAATCTGAAGATGTGTTAATTTTTAAATGAATTTTATGAATACAATTTTTTTATTACATGTTTCCTTACCAATGAAATACTGATCTTTTTAATTAGAATTTCTTTTGATCTATGTATTTGAAAGCTTTTCTTGTGTTGTCATGTGTATTTTACTAATAAACGCAAAATGGAAAATAGATACATCTATATGATATAAATATACAGTAGTATATTCGCCAAATTTTTATGGCTATGATTATAAATATTCATTAGATAAAGATTTCACGATGAATAATAAAGAAAATATTCTGTTATGAATGAATAACATATAATCAATCTCAATTTATGAATCTTAATCGCTATGTAATTCTCGGACAAATTTCCCGCGTCTTAAGCGTATTTCAATTTTTTTCGAAATATATATATATAATCATCATTAAAAAATATATAATAAAATAAAAAATATTTTAAAGATAGTACCAAAATAAATTTAATATACAAATAAAAAAAAAAAAAGAAAACACATATTTAATATATGTGTTTAATTAATGTTAATTAATATTAGCAATTTGTACGATTTTTGATTCGTACAATTTTATTTAAATTTTCATAAGTAATTTTAAATTCATATCTAAAATTAAAATACACTTTAGAAAGAAAGCGACAGATTAAAATGAATATCAAAAACAACATC